CCACATACACCGCCACATACACCGCCACATACACCGCACATTCCCCGTCACCTCCGTCCCGCACTCACCTCATTGGCTTGCGTTCGATGCATACTTTCTCATACAGATCACGCAGAAACGCGGCCGGGCCTTCCTGTGTCACATGACCTGAGCGCAGACGAGACTTCACGTAGCCAACGAACCTCCGCAGGAATCCCAGGAAGTGCTGTGCGGTGCGGATGCATCCCGGGACGGCCTCTGCAACGCATTGTACAGAATATATACACTGAGGTGGAAGGAGAGACAGGGGGAAGGGCAGGAGAGTCCGGGGTAAGGGGAGGAGAGTCCAGGGTAAGGGGAGGAGAGTCCGGGGTAAGGGGAGGAGAGTCCAGGGTAAGGGGAGGAGAGTCCAGGGTAAGGGGAGGAGAGTCCAGGGTAAGGGGAGGAGAGTCCAGGGTAAGGGGAGGAGAGTCCAGGGTGAGGGGAGGAGAGTCCAGGGTAAGGGGAGGAGAGTCCAGGGTAAGGGGAGGGGCACAGTCACAGAGTATTTACACAGAGGTCACCCCCCCCAGGAGGAGTGTGTTGGGTGTACCATGTATGACCCCCCACACCAGGCCCACCTTGGAGGATCTCGTCCGGTAACACGGGATTGGCCAGGTACACGTCTGTCTCCCTGGCGATGTTGGCCTCGCGCAGACCTTCCACCAGCCGGGAGTATTCCTGCTTCAGCTTCTGCTCATCACACTCTTTAATCCTAAAAATACAGAAATATTCACCTTCTGATCCCGGAGATCCCTCCGAAATAGAGCCGCTTAAGGGGAGGAGAGTCCGGGGTGAGGGGAGGAGAGTCCAGGGTAAGGGGAGGAGACTCCGGGGTAAGGGGAGTAGGCTCCGGGGTAAGGGGAGTAGGCTCCGGGGTAAGGGGAGTAGGCTCCGGGGTAAGGGGAGGAGACTCCGGGGTAAGGGGAGGAGACTGTGACATCACATGACTCACCAATATTATGAGCCTCATCAAAGACCACAACGGATTTTTTGGCGAGCTCGCGGGAGACCTGGTCGGCGATTTTGGGGTCCAGCAGGTAGTGGTAACTGTACACGACTACATTACACTGAGAGAGCTGCAGACACAACGTGATATCATCATCATCCTCCGGCTTCACCGGGACAGGACAGCCAAAGGAAGGGAATACTCACAGCATGACGGGCCAGGAAGTAAGGACACCACCCCCGCTGCCGCCCGAGCGTCCGCAGATCATCCAAGTTATAGATACCGGGGGGGAGGGGCGTCTCCCGGCCAATAGAATCAAATTCCTAAACAGAGAGACAAGAAGATCAAACCACCAACCAGATCCACCCCATGTGACCCCAAACTACCAACCAGATCCCAGATCCACCTCATGTGACCCCAAACCCCCAACCAGATCCACCCAATGTGACCCCAAACCCCCAACCAGATACCAGATCCACCCCATGTGACCCCAAACCCCCAACCAGATCCCAGATCTACCCCATGTGACCCCAAACCCCCAACCAGAAACCAGATCTACCCCATGTGACCCCAAACTACCAACCAGATCCCAGATCCACCCCATGTGACCCCAAACCCCCAACCAGATCCCAGATCCACCCCATGTGACCCCAAACCACCAACCAGATCCCAGATCCACCCCATGTGACCCCAAACTACCAACCAGATCCCAGATCTACCCCATGTGACCCCAAACCCCCAACCAGATCCCAGATCTACCCCATGTGACCCCAAACTACCAACCAGATCCCAGATCCACCCCATGTGACCCCAAACTACCAACCAGATCCCAGATCTACCCCATGTGACCCCAAACCCCCAACCAGATCCCAGATCCACCCCATGTGACCCCAAACTACCAACCAGATCCCAGATCCACCCAATGTGACCCCAAACCTCCAACCAGATCCCAGATCTACCCCATGTGACCCCAAACCACCAACCAGATCCACCCCATGTGACCCCAAACTACCAACCAGATCCCAGATCCACCCCATGTGACCCCAAACCACCAACCAGATCCACCCAATGTGACCCCAAACTACCAACCAGATCCACCCCATGTGACCCCAAACCACCAACCAGATCCACCCAATGTGACCCCAAACTACCAACCAGATCCCAGATCTACCCCGTGTGACCCCAAACTACCAACCAGATCCACCCCATGTGACCCCAAACCCCCAACCAGATCCCAGATCTACCCCATGTGACCCCAAACCACCAACCAGATCCCAGATCCACCCCATGTGACCCCAAACCCCCAACCAGATCCCAGATCTACCCCATGTGACCCCAAACCACCAACCAGATCCCAGATCCACCCCATGTGACCCCAAACTACCAACCAGATCCCAGATCCACCCCATGTGACCCCAAACCCCCAACCAGATCCCAGATCCACCCCATGTGACCCCAAACTACCAACCAGATCCCAGATCCACCCAATGTGACCCCAAACCTCCAACCAGATCCCAGATCTACCCCATGTGACCCCAAACCACCAACCAGATCCACCCAATGTGACCCCAAACTACCAACCAGATCCCAGATCCACCCCATGTGACCCCAAACCACCAACCAGATCCACCCAATGTGACCCCAAACCACCAACCAGATCCACCCCATGTGACCCCAAACCACCAACCAGATCCACCCCATGTGACCCCAAACCACCAACCAGATCCACCCAATGTGACCCCAAACTACCAACCAGATCCACCCCATGTGACCCCAAACCACCAACCAGATCCACCCAATGTGACCCCAAACTACCAACCAGATCCACCCAATGTGACCCCAAACTACCAACCAGATCCACCCCATGTGACCCCAAACCCCCAACCAGATCCCAGATCTACCCCATGTGACCCCAAACCACCAACCAGATCCACCCCATGTGACCACAAACCACCAACCAGATCCCAGATCCACCCCATGTGACCCCAAACCACCAACCACAGATCCACCCCGTGTGACCACAAACTACCAACCAGATCCCAGATCTACCCCGTGTGACCCCAAACTACCAACCAGATCTACCCCATGTGACCCCAAACCACCAACCAGATCCCAGATCCACCCCATGTGACCCCAAACTACCAACCAGATCCCAGATCTACCCCATGTGACCCCAAACTACCAACCAGATCCACCCCATGTGACCCCAATATACCAACCAGGTCCCAGATCCACCCCATATGACCCCAAACCCCCAACCAGATCCCAGATCCACCCCATGTGACCCCAAACTACCAACCAGATCCACCCCATGTGACCCCAATATACCAACCAGATCCCAGATCTACCCCATATGACCCCAAACCACCAACCAGATCCCAGATCTACCCCATGTGACCCCTGTGATGACATGGTGATCAGTTTAATGTGTATTGGTGTTGGGTTGTGTGTGAGTGCGTTATGCTGTGTGACCTGGTTATGGAAAGACTATCAGCACCATCCCCCGTTATCTCCCATTGTTCTCTGAGGGAGCTCAGAACAATGACATTCTGGCCAGGCTCCTGCTATGGCTGTCTGGGGGGGGGTCACCTACACTCCAGCCTTGGCTAGTGACTGGGGAAACTGGGAGCTAAGGATCTTCAGGTTGCAATATCTCCTGAGCAAGGAAGAACCCCAAACCACCAAGCAGATCCCAGATCCACCCCATGTGACCCCAAACCACTAACCAGATCCCAGATCCACCCCAAACTACCAACCAGATCCCAGATCTACCCCATGTGACCCCAAACCACTAACCAGATCCCAGATCCACCCCAAACTACCAACCAGATCCCAGATCTACCCCATGTGACCCCAAACCACCAACCAGATCCCAGATCCACCCCATGTGACCCCAAACCACCAACCAGATCCCAGATCCACCCCATGTGACCCCAAACCCCCAACCAGATCCCAGATCTACCCCATGTGACCCCAAACTACCAACCAGATCCCAGATCCACCCCATGTGACCCCAAACTACCAACCAGATCCCAGATCCACCCCATGTGACCCCAAACCCCCAACCAGATCCCAGATCCACCCCATGTGACCCCAAACTACCAACCAGATCCCAGATCCACCCCATGTGACCCCAAACCACCAACCAGATCCCAGATCCACCCCATGTGACCCCAAACCCCCAACCAGATCCCAGATCCACCCCATGTGACCCCAAACCACCAACCAGATCCACCCAATGTGACCCCAAACTACCAACCAGATCCACCCAATGTGACCCCAAACTACCAACCAGATCCACCCCATGTGACCCCAAACCCCCAACCAGATCCCAGATCTACCCCATGTGACCCCAAACCACCAACCAGATCCACCCCATGTGACCACAAACCACCAACCAGATCCCAGATCCACCCCATGTGACCCCAAACCACCAACCACAGATCCACCCCGTGTGACCCCAAACTACCAACCAGATCCCAGATCTACCCCATGTGACCCCAAACCACCAACCAGATCCCAGATCCACCCCATGTGACCCCAAACCACCAACCAGATCCCAGATCCACCCCATGTGACCCCAAACCCCCAACCAGATCTACCCCATGTGACCCCAAACTACCAACCAGATCCCAGATCCACCCCATGTGACCCCAAACCACCAACCAGATCCCAGATTTCCTTCTGAGGTTGAATGTAACCTGGCGGATCCCGGGCCGTTTCCTGATCACTCGCAGATCCCGGATCTCTTACCTCAAAGTATCGGCAGAAGGGGATGGAGGGATCTCTCTGTCGTTGGGTCCGGATGAAGGAAGCCGTGAGACTGTGACACCGGCCGTCCACTTCCTTTCCAAACCGCAGAGCGCTAACCTGGAGGATGAGACACTGTCAGGGTATTTCTATACAAAATGACATAAAACTGATGAGCTATGACTTGTACAGAAACTAAATCAAACTTTTCTGTGCACGGTGACACAAGGGCCCCGAAGTCTGTGCTGGACAGGTAATCCGCAGATGCTGCAGTGCCGTCCGTCCGTTTTTCTACTGCGGGCGGACGGCAAGAGGTTAAGGTGTCTCGGTATTTTTATTTTTCTGATAATTTATTTTATTGATTGTGCGTCTGACCCGTAATCGCCAGTAATTGATGCTTTGTACCGAGATATAGGATTACACTCGCAGATTAATACATTATTTTGCTTTATTAGTGTAATTGGGAGATATTTATATATTGCGGTAAGAAATCACCATAAGCTCAGAGAACTCGGGGAAGTGGTTTGCGGCGCGTTATCAGGCGTCTGAACCGAATTCTTACTGGTTGTTATTTATTTGCCGTAATGGGCTGGAGGCGTGGCCTATTACATCTAAGTATAATTCAGACGCCGCCCTATTATTAATATCTCACCAAGATTTGATACCACTCAATCACAACAACACGGAGAAGTATGGAGGACCCCGCACACCCCTCCGAGGCCACACGGGCTCCTCCTGGGGCCACGCTCACTACTCCCAGGGCCCCAGGATGATGTACTCACCTCTGGATTGACGCACAGGTTGCGGCGGGAGCTTAGCGCCAGGGCCAGGAAGTTGAGCTTCTCCCCGGTCTGAGATTGGATGTATTCCATCAGCTTCCTCAGCTCCTCCACCACCTGCAGAGACATGACCGAGTCACATGACAGCGGAGACAACATGGCGGCCGGTCACATGACAGCGGAGACATCATGGCGGCCGGTCACATGACAGCGCAGACAACATGGCGGCCGGTCACATGACAGCGGAGACAACATGGCGGCCGGTCACATGACAGCGGAGACATCATGGCGGCCGGTCACATGACAGCGGAGACAACATGGCGGCCGGTCACATGACAGCGGAGACAACATGGCGGCCGGTCACATGACAGCGGAGACAACATGGCGGCCGGTCACATGACAGCGGAGACAACATGGCGGCCGGTCACATGACAGCGGAGACAACATGGCGGCCGGTCACATGACAGCGGAGACAACATGGCGGCCGGTCACATGACAGCGGAGACAACATGGCGGCCGGTCACATGACAGCGGAGACAACATGGCGGCCGGTCACATGACAGCGGAGACAACATGGCGGCCGGTCACATGACAGCGGAGACATCATGGCGGCCGGTCACATGACAGCGGAGACAACATGGCGGCCGGTCACATGACAGCGGAGACAACATGGCGGCCGGTCACATGACAGCGGAGACAACATGGCGGCCGGTCACATGACAGCGGAGACAACATGGCGGCCGGTCACATGACAGCGGAGACAACATGGCGGCCGGTCACATGACAGCGGAGACAACATGGCGGCCGGTCACATGACAGCGGAGACAACATGGCGGCCGGTCACATGACAGCGGAGACATCATGGCGGCCGGTCACATGACAGCGGAGACATCATGGCGGCCGGTCACATGACAGCGGAGACATCATGGCGGCCGGTCACATGACAGCGGAGACAACATGGCGGCCGGTCACATGACAGCGGAGACAACATGGCGGCCGGTCACATGACAGCGCAGACAACATGGCGGCCGGTCACATGACAGCGCAGACAACATGGCGGCCGGTCACATGACAGCGCAGACAACATGGCGGCCGGTCACATGACAGCGCAGACAACATGGCGGCCGGTCACATGACAGCGCAGACAACATGGCGGCCGGTCACATGACAGCGGAGACATCATGGCGGCCGGTCACATGACAGCGGAGACAACATGGCGGCCGGTCACATGACAGCGGAGACAACATGGCGGCCGGTCACATGACAGCGGAGACAACATGGCGGCCGGTCACATGACAGCGGAGACAACATGGCGGCCGGTCACATGACAGCGGAGACAACATGGCGGCCGGTCACATGACAGCGGAGACATCATGGCGGCCGGTCACATGACAGCGGAGACGCGGCGCATACCTTCTCCAATTCCGGGACGGTCCTGGAACAGTAAATCAGCTTCGTCACTTCCAGGGGATACGTCTATAAAACAGAAGCCGGACCATGAGAAGGACGTACGAGGGACCCTCTGCGGGGGGAGGGGGAGGAGGGGACACTCACCCTCTGATAGGCCACAATGAGAGACAACAGCGAGACCGTCTTCCCCGTCCCCGACGGCATCTCCAACACGCCATGACCCTGAACCAAACACATAACATGCGTGACACACGTGAGA